GTAGAAATACACAAGGAAGAAAGTGTTCATTTCCTATAATCTCCCTTCCTCCCTGGGTCATTGTAGTTGGAACGAAGAGATTCTGAGAAACCCAGTAATGTTTGAGAACAAGGAAGAGACTGTTGTAGAGTTGAAATCCACAAAAACCTCAAATCTTAATTTTTGTAAGTTGTCAACCTCCATTTACACTTTCACCCTACGTTCTTTATTTTTGGTCTTAAACTACGGAGGCATGAAATGTCCAAACACACTGAGAGGGGCGGGGAGGGGGCGGTAATAATGCCAGAGCATCCTTCACTTTAACTTGCTGCTTATGCACCTGCTGCTCATACCCATGTCCTCCATCAGGCTCACAGCACACTTCCCGGATGAGTCATGAGGGGCAGAGCTGGGCTTGAACCATGGTTCTGGCTCATCCCTTTCCGTTTCTCTGACCCTTTTCCATCTCCATAACGTTTGTCTTGAAGTTATACCTGTAGGCCAGTCTTGTAGGTAGTCCTCCGTATTCATTGAACAGATATTTTGTTGAGTGATTGCTCTGTGCTGAGCTCTCTCCTAGTCCCAGGAATCAACAGCGAACAGAACCCACCACGTCCCTGCCCCCTTGGCGGCTTACTCTCTGGAAGGAGATACTGACCCTAAACAGATCACAGTGTCTTAGGCGTAAACCCCGGGCCCTCCTCGTGTCCTGTAACCACCATGGTGGCCTGGTAACCCGTGGGGTTTTCCTTGTGCCTCCTAACTCTGTGTTTATATTTTCAACCTCTGAAGTCTCGGGCTGCGTTGCACAGGCCAGGATCCCCGTGTCCATGGGGCAGCTCTGACCACTCCCGTCTAACCCTGTGATTAGACAGAGACCGGGCGGCCACTTTCCTGAGCAGCAGAGGGGTTCTGGGTGGGGAAGCACGCATACGATCATGCAGTAGATGCAGCAGGGGAAGGGGGAAGTGAAAGATGAACACAGAACCAGTGAAGGCGCCAGGCTTCGAAAGACTGATTAAAATGAGGCTTTGGGAACCACCCCCCCAAAAAAAAATGCCAAGAGTGCACTGAACGTGGCGCGCTCGGAAAGCACACGCAGGGTTTCTGCCAGCCCCTGCGTCCACCCCAGCGGCAAAAGCACGGGTGGGACCGGAAGAGAGCCCTGCGCGCGTGTTCTTTCGGGCCTCGGGTTGGCCTCTGGCCCCTGGTGTTTGCCTCTTGGCAGGGCCCCTGCCGTTCCCTCCCCACTCTGGGGGGAGTCCGGCTTCCTCCACAAGAGGTCAAGGCCCTGCGGAGTGCAGAGGCAGAGCCATCCTGGAACCCGGGGCTGGGCACGCCCCTTCCGGGAAGGAGGAGCACTGTCTGCTTTCGGGCTCCACGTTCTGTCACAGGACCCGAGAGATCTGTGCCCACCAGCCAGCCCCCTTCTGCTGTCACTGTTCCGGCGCCCAGAGGAAGCTTAGAAGAACGAAATCCAAGTGCCTGCTTTCTCGGCCTTTCCCCTGCATGTCTTTCAACAGAGCTGCCAATAAAAGAGGGCCGCCAGCTCCCCAGCCACAGGCTCACGCGCAGTGACCGGGAGGCGGGAAAGAAAGCTGGACACGGGGTATGAGTGGCGAAGGAATGGTTAAGAAGCATTGATTTCACCCGACTTGCTTAAAGAACAAAGCGGGCCCCTGGTAAACAACAGCACACGCTTCGTGACGACCCCACGTGTGGGGGTGCCGGCCAGCCCCAGGATGTCGCCCAGCCTGGGCACGAGTCCATCCTGGGCAGGGGCATTGGCCGAAGGGCAGTGTTTTTCATGACCAGGACCTCTGATTGGCTCTCGTGCAGGGGTGGTTTCTGAGGTTTCTAGTTCTATAATCTACTGACATTGATTGTCTCTGGGCGTGAAATATCTTCCAGGCCAATGGGGGCTGGGATCTCAGGGATCTTAAAATTCGGACAGTAAGTCAAAAGCGCTGTGGTTGCCTGGGCTGGTGGGTCGGTGGGCACCCAGCAGGCAAAGCCTCTGACACTCTCACGTTGTCTAGGAAGGAAGCGATTAGGACACTGGCATTTTACAGAGCCCTGGGAATGGCCCACTGCTCTGCCCTCCTCAGGAAGGTGTGGGCTGAGCACTCCGCACATGGTGCCAGCAGGTGCCCTGGCCTTCGCTTCATCCCCAGGTGGGAGGGAAGCAGGGGCGCTCCCTCTGTGGCATCTGCGCACACCTGGCCAAGATGGCTGTGAAACAGAAGGACCCAGGGGCCAAGCCAGGAGCTGTGAGAAGCCGCTTCACCTCCTGGGGCCCCAGTCTCCCTGCCTGCAAACTGCGGGTCTGGCTGAGCCAGTGATGGCGAACCTATGACACGCGTGTCAGAGGTGACACGCGCACTCATTTTTCTGGTTGATTTTTCTTTGTTAAATGGCATCTAAATATATAAAATAAATATCAAAAATATAAATCTTTGTTTTACTATGGTTGGAAATATCAAAAAATTTCTATATGTGACACGGCATCAGAGTTAAGTTAGGGTTTTTCAAAATGCTGACACGCCGAGCTCAAAAGGTTCGTCATCACTGGGCTAAGCGATTCTCCGGTTTTCCGCACGTTCAGAAGTCAGAGTTCTGTTCACTGATAGCCCGTCTCTGGCTCACGCCCCTGCGGCTCAGGGCATTCCCACTGAATGAGTTTCCTCCGGGAAACTCCGCTTAGCAACTCAGTGGTTTCTATGGGCTCTTCTGCTCTTAGATCCTGAAATTCTTCAGCCCGGCCAGCACCCGGCCTTGTCTTAGATGCAGTGGAGAATCTTCACAGAAACGCTGTTGGCATTGGCCTTCTAGCCCTCAGATCGTGGGAAAGAGGTGCCATTGCTCTTAGAAGCTTTACTGGGAGATGCCAGCCTGCCCGCCTTATTTGTTTATGTGTTTGTTCACTTGTGTCCGTTGATGTGGTGGCCACCTGAAGGGGACATTGGGGAGCTCCAGCCACACCAACCGTCCTGCAGCTGCCACTGACGTGGGTGGGCCCTCCTAGGGTCCTGCTCCCTGAGGGAGTCCAGGCATCAAGGTTTGGGGACATCCCAACCCGAAAGGTACTCAGTAGTATCACACGCAGTCGCCACAGTCTGAATAGAATTCCAAAGGCAAGGCAGGCGGTGCCCTTCCCACGAGGCTCGTCCCTGGCTGGCCGTGCACCCGCAGCAGCACCCGTGGAGGCATCCTCGGGGATTAGGTGGCCTAGAGCAAGCATGTCAAACTCACAGCCACATGTCTTGTTTATTTGGCCATGTTAGCCTTTGAGTTTGACATGCTTGGCCTAGAGCAGTGATGGCAAACCTATGACATGCGTGTCAGAGGTGACACGTGAACTCATTTTTTTAGTTGATTTCTCTTTGTTAAATGGCATTTAAATATATAAAATAAATATCAAAAATATAAGCCTTTGCCTTACTATGGTTGCAAATACCAAAAATTTCTATATGTGACACGGCACCAGAGTTAAGTTAGGGTTTTTCAAAATGCTGACACGCCGAGCTCAAAAGGTTCGCCATCACTGGGCTAGAGCGTCCTGCAGCTCAGAGTGGCTCTGTGTTTGAGCTGAGCTCATGTAACAGGGCCATCATGGATTTAATTTTTAATAGAGCTGACTTCCAACCCGGCTGGTATAGCTCAGTGGTTGAGCGTCGATCTATGGACCAAGAGATCATAGTTCGATTCCCAGTCAGGGCACATGCCCAGCTGTGGTGGAAATCCAACAGAAAAAAAGAAAATGAAGGAAGGGTGGGCTGGATCCGGCTAGGGGCCATGCAGGAGGCAGCTGATCAATAATTCTCTCTCATCACTTATGTTTCTTTCTTTATTTTTTTAAATATTTTTCATTGATTTCAGAGAAGAAGGGAGAGGGAGAGAGAGATAGAAACATCAGTGATAAGAGAGAATCATTGATCGGCTGCCTCCTGCATGCTCCACACTGGGGATCGAGCCCACGAACAGGCATGTGCCTTGATTGGGAATTGAACCGTGAGCTGGTTCATAGGTCGATGCTCAACCACTGAGCCACGCCGGCCGGGCCATTTATGTTTCTATCTCTTCCTCCTCCTTCCTCTCTGAAATCAATTAAATGTGTGTGTGTGTGTACTTTTTTTTTAAAGAGCTGATTTCCGGTCAGGTGGCAGCCCACCCTTCCTTCATTTGGGGTCTTTTCTGCTTTTGGATTTCCACTTCCTAGACTCGGCCTGCTGCGGCTGTTCTAAACTTCCTGTTGTTTAAATACATCCGATGGCATGGAGTCTCTAGGGAGGCTGCTGTTCCCTGGCGATGCCTCCCCGGCAGCATCCAGCGGTCCGAGCCCTCTGTGTACTGAGCTGCGAGGGCGGAGGCCCCGCACTGGGCCGCATGGTGGTCGGCCGTCCGCACAGGCGCCTTTGCAGCCCTGTCTCCGTCTCTCCAGCCCTGTGTCTCCGTCTCTCCAGCCCTGTGTCTCCGTCTCTCCAGCCCTGTGTCTCCGTCTCTCCAGCCCTGTGTCTCCGTCTCTCCAGCCCTGTCTCCGTCTCTCCAGCCCTATGTGCAGACTCTCCTGTCGTTGGGGCGGGGCTTCCCATCCTGCTCCGTGAACGTGAGTGGGGCGCCCCACAGGGCAGCGCTGCGTAGGTAGCAGAGTTAGATTCCAGGTCTCCCCTCTGGAATCTTCCTGGGCAGCCCCACAGCCTCTGTAGTCTGACCTTAGAGGGAGAGAGAAAGTAGGGCACCTGTAGTGTCTTATTTTCATGTGGCCACTTCCACTCCTTCACCGCTGCCTTGGGGTTATCTATTAGGGACGAGCTCTGGAAGGATTTCTTCGTACCAGCCTAGGACTAGGAATTGATTTGTGTTGTGTGTCTGTAAGAGACAGGAGGACCTAGAGGGCCGGGCGGTGGCAGCTCAGAGCACAGAGTGGGACTCGCCCTGATTAACATGCTCTGAGTCAGGCATTTCTGGCTGGCTGGAGCTGTCACCCACATTTCCCCGCAGCCACGGGGTCTGGCACAGTCATGCCGGCCAGTCCTCCCAGCGTGCTGGGCAGGGAGCACCATCCTCCTGGCTCCGAGAGTCAGGTGGGCTGGGCCAGCTCCCTCCTGGTGCCCCAGCGCACCCAGAGCATCAGAGCGGGGAGAGAGGAGCAGCTGGGCCAGCCCAGGGTGTGGTCTGAGAACAGGCCTGAGTTAGGGGAGCCACAGCTCTTTTCTTCTTATTACTTTGTCTTAATCCTTTTCATCTTCAGCTAACCTTGCTTATTTTTATTTATTTTTTAAA